CGCGCGCCGCGCGTGCCGCGTCCGCCGCGCCGAGCCGGCGTCGCACGCGCCCCCACGCCCGCCTAGCTCGTCCGCTCACTTAACATGTTGCCAGTGTTGTGATACCGGTCACAGGTGAGCATTTTTCAAGTGAAACTTTCAAGTTTTGATGTGAAATCGATTGAACTTTACTTCGACGAGATCGATATTTGTTGGTAAGTCGTCTTTCTGATATATTATTTATTATACCGCTTTTAATTTTGTGTTACCCCTAATTATAGATTTAGACCGGTGCGTGTTTTACTTTTTATTTTACGAATATATTTTCTTAGTGAAAGTTTAGTAGGGCGCGTGGGTAACGGTGTAGTGCGGGATGTATCCCATGCTGTATCCTGACCTACTTCAATAGTGCAGATCGATGACGACATCATTTGACGTGGCGGAGCATTGTAGGCACAACACTAGCCCTAATAATAAAATAAGTACCGCGCGACCACGCGCTGCGTTAAAGGTAAAAGGTCAACAAGTCGAAACTAAGTTCATTACGTCCTTATTACTGCAGATGTTCAACTGGGTTACTATTGTTTTAAAAACTTCATCGACATTCATTATTAAAAATAATTTATTAATTAAATTAACAATTTAATTACAAATTACCTAATAAAAAAATTCAGAAAAACATAATAGAAAATTAATAATTAATCAGACCACGTATAAGGCAACGAATACACACCATCCTTTAAAATTGGCGAACTTTTATCAAAGCTAAAACATTTGACCACGACGCCGCGGCGCGATATTTTAGTTCAGTCAAAGGACATATTGCACATACGCTACAATACACAGACTGTACATTCGAACATTTTACACATAACTTCTGCTATATAGGTAGTTGATAGCATTCTTTCAATTTCCTCGTTTTCGAGTGTCCGCCGTACTACGAAGAGAATGAAGTTTTCGTTCTAAAAATGTTATTTCCAATAGTTTGTGCCGAGATTGGGAACAGGAGCAAACAAAGACTGTGTTTTGAAATAGACGTTTCAGATTCACTGGGTCGGATAACAGAGAGAAAATATATTTAATCTGTTCCTACGGTAGTTACTAGTTTTGTGGTACTATTCTTTTTTTGGTTCAAATGACTATTCTTTTTAAACTTTAATTGGAATTTGTACAATTACATATAATCACGCTTTTTACTCCAAAGAGGTAGGCAGAGGTGCACACTACGGCACTTAATGCCACTGTACAATTAAACCACTTAAACCCACTTTTAAATATTTATTTTATGATTCCCATGTAATAGGGGGTGAGCCTATTGCCATATACTGGGCAAAATTCCAGTCTCCGTGCTACTACTGATTCAAAATTCCAGTAATACTTTGCCCGACCCAGGAATCAAGACCCCTTGCCTGATAGTCGCACTTGCAAGCACTCGGCCAACGAGGCAGTCTTAGTATTGTACAATTAATTATTATTAAATATGCTCCCATTTTTTGCCATCTTCATCAACAGCACCTGACAATACTATGAGCCTCCTTTGAATAAGAGCGGTTCTTATAATCTCCATACTTGGTAGGCCTATTGGAGAATGCAGTACAAAAGGTTCAGCTTTCACAGAGGCTGCTACATAGCCTTTATTAATGTGTCATAAATTAGTCGAGTCTTATGACACCGCAAGGTTTACACTAAGTATATGGTGGTCTTCCAACCGACCTATCTGGAAGTCATTGGGAGAGGCCTATGTTCAGCAGTGGACGTCCTGTCTCTGATATGATTATGATAATGATATGGTGGTGATGTGGTAGCAAGGAGGTTTAACACGCCCGCTTCGAGTGCGGGATCGAAACCTATCAATACAACGATAGTTAGATAGATAATGAGTACCAATATGACTCTTTCCGAGTTATATGTACTTTCTGAGATTATGCAGACACCACTGACAACCAAGGAAAACATCGTGAGGAAACATGAGCTTATAATTTCTAATTATAAGTTTGAAATCGCCAACCTGTATTGAAAAAGCGTGGTGATTAATGCTCAAACCTCCGTGTGAGAAGAGGCTTTGCTCGGGTAAAGACATTTATAGGCTGTTGATGATAATGGTAAAATGATCTTTAATCAATTTAGGTTACAAGATAAATGTAATTTAATTCGTACTAGACTTAGGACTTCCAAAGAATCATCAAGTAATTTGGTCCTTTATGTTAAAACGCTTGGAACAGTTTAAATTCAACATCTTCTGACTAATTTAGACTGTTATCAGTCTTCTATTTAAACAGTCAGTCTCTTAATTAAGGTTTTACTTAGATAGGCTAATTAGGTGCGAATTCAATTTAGTACTCATTCCAAAAGGATGGTCGAATCGATGCAAATGTTACTGCATATTACACATGGCTGGGACTTTCATTCAAAGTTTTGAAAAAACAATAATTTTGATTCGTCTTGCTCAAACATAGACCTGTGAAAACACCATTACGAAAGTACTTACTTTCGCCAGGACTTTCTTAGTACAGGCATTTAATGTATAAGGCCTACATCGCTTATTAAAATAATATTTTGTATTTTGCTCATTCTATCATCAATAAAGATTATTTATGTTGTTTTTTATTGGGTGGTATTTAATACTTTAACTGTAAATTCCTTTTTTTAATCAAAATGTTCGGAGTTACCGCCAAAAATACTGAATTGCACACTGAATTTGCTCATCAAATAAATCAATTATACTATACTGTTAGATCTTTAAAGCTTAACTGTTTTACTGAATGACTATCGTTTAACTAAAAGTACATCTAATAACTCCTAACCTAACCTAACCTTACCTATTTTGGAAAATCCGTTGTAATATCGAAACAATTTGTGTGCAAATCACTATTTTTGTTTTACGATGAGTAATATGTAGTTAATTCGTAGTACGGTCATTTTTTGATATGCAGTAGGTTATTAGTGGAGAAATATGGTTTGCTTAAATTTCTAAATAGAGGTGCAGTAAACATTTCCCTATATTATTTACTTATTTTCCGAGAAAAATAATTATATTTTTATCAAACTATGCGAACAGCAGCCCTTAGCAACAGAGCTCGCCAACTTAAAACAAATACCCTAAACGGGGTAGTCAAAATTGTGTAATGATTCATGATTATTATAACCAGTAATAATGGCCAATATCTCCGCCGAAGTCTCGTTAAGTTTACGAAATTTCCCAAAGTATTTAATTAGAAGTTTTATGAAGAAAAACAAAACCGCCACGATCCGATTTATCTGGTAAAGTTTTGGGAGTTGGGAAAAGCCAAACGTTTATTGGTTCATACTTAAATTACCGGTCAAATATTGGGGTTCGAGACGTGGTTGGACATGGCTTATTTATACATCAATCGATAAATTAATATGGTGTCTGATATACTAGCCAATTAAGATTAAAGTCAGTATTAGCACGGAGTCTGGAACTGTATATTTATTTATTTATTTAAACTGTCAAACACCAAGCGGCCACCGGTGACCGCAACCTATTGTTCTATAATTGTGTCTACAAAACCGGTACTCGACGAGTTAAGGGCAACCAACAAAGCATACACCATTATACATGATAGGTTTTAACATAATTTAACATTGTATAGTGTAGCCTTAATTAAAGGCTGCCACGACATGCATTAAACAAAGAACAGGATGTTACAGCAAAAAATTCACTTATCCAAAAAAAAGACGTCGCGGAGAACCTAACGGGTAACGGGGCTTCGGCTCGAAGTGCAGGAGAAAGAACGGGGTGGTTTTTAGTCAGTAAGAGTCTGACACTCCCTCTCGCCTCACCTAGGCGGGAATAGTAATTTGATGATTTTCCCCCCTTAAAAAAAATCCAAAAAAAAGACATCTTATTAATAATTCTAACATCTTGATTACTCAATTAAAATTTTATTTTTTACGTTGTCTCTGTTATATGTTAAAAATCAAGCCCTACTTCATGGAATTCATAACAAAACTGGTAAAAGGTTGGTGTTATTTGAACACGTGCTCGTCTATAAGAACCTTTGCGAACATAAAGTGTGATATAATGTAATGTATCAATAAACAAACTTCAGAAAAATGTAATGCAACAATCCAGTCAGGATAAAGTGAAAAACAAAATTTAAAAATCAAAGCTCATTACAACAAAATGTCGTTACGAACTAAAAATCGGTCAAGAAAACCTTTCACCCTCAATATGATTCAAATACCAGTTTATTAAACCAAAAATATGTCTCCATAATTCACCGGTTTTCCTTAAAAGGCAGCTACTTCCCTTCAACTTTCTATATTACCTTCATGTTACAATACTTTATGGGGAAAAATGTCATAAATCATTTTCACGCGATAAATTGAAAAACGTGACCCCATCGTTTTACACTCTCTGGGTTTCTCTCCTCAGTCGCTGCAGGGTTTTATTCATTTTACGAAGAAAATTTTGAAATACCGATATACCTCTAATTTATTGATTGTAATTACCTACACTAGATAAGTGATCCCTGATTAATTAACCACGAAATTTTAACTCGAATTCGACAAGTATAAAATAACGTAACATAATATCACGCCTTTTATCTCCGAAGGTGTAGGCAAAGGTGCACATTACGGCACTTAAAGGCACTGTACAATGTAACACTCATTTTTCACTATTTATCTTATGAGTCTTATGTAATAGAGAGTGAGTCTATTGCCATATACATTTCCAGACTCCGTGCTATGTACTATGAAGAATATTTTTTTAAAAAACCCTGTAATACTTTGCCCGACCTGGGTCAAACCCGAGACCCCTAGCCCGACAGTCACAATTGAGACCACTCGGCTAACAAGGTAGTCATGATGTAACTACCTATACATATCATTCGATACAGCAACTAGTATAAAATACTTTAGGCAATTATCTACAATCTTATGCATATTGCCTACTGGAATAATGAAACTTGTTCATCTTATGAACGTATTACAAAAATACAAAAGCCTTGTCTTAGTCCACAAAAAAAACGGTATGTTCAAAACGAAAAAATCACTAAAAAAAACACTAACACTAGCAAGATAATCTGATTGATCTCGGACGGCTGGTTCAACGAGTCACCGCGTTCGTAGGCCGGTATTACGCCCCGGATACGTTAGGCTCATCCCTTTGGCAAATCCCAAAGTCTTGTACAGATTTTCGTTGTATTAGGATAGGTATTTGATGGGAAGATCGGACCTAATGGTATTA